CGAGAGAGAGAGAGAGGGAGAAAATGTGGGTTACGCGGTGCGTACGACGGAATAGAGTAACACTCCGCCGCGCGGAATATAATCTCGCGAAAATATCCCGACGGAGATTTATAACGCGCGCAATTGGAACGTTTACTTTTTCAGATATCGTCAAGTTAATTAACGGTCCGCGTGCGCGCGTTCAGCACCACGGAGAATCGACTCGAGCAAAGAGTGTCACGCGTTTATTATTATTTATGAATCGTAACGAGTTGTTTTTATGCTCGCATCTCGCTGCCCACGTAGTTGGTGTGAGTCTGCTTTGCGCTTACGTATTGTTTCTCGTTCCACGGATTAGTGCGCTGTTTTCATCCCGTCAACGATCGCATGATTAATTAAACATTAATCTCTGCTTCTTTCGCGGAGAAGCGTGAGGAATGATTTATGACTTGTCGAATAAGTTCTCCGAAAATCTAATTTAATTCACTCTGGCCGCGCGGCCACGGAGCGTCTCGCAAAATTTGTAATTAACATTTTTACCAAACAATCGTACAAACGCGCGTCAGTAATTTAATCAATTCGATTGCGAAGCTCGTTTTCGGCGGGGTCTAAGCTCCTTATTGGAATATTCCGTGATTATTGCCCGCATAGCCGCGCCCACTCAAACATAGTGATGCACTACTGCGGGTGAAAACAAGTAGATATGCACCGGCGCTGTCGAACAAACGCAGATGCCGGTCTATATGCGCAAAGGCGGATTGAATTCTACACACGCGAGGTGATTCGTGACGAATCTGCATAACTCGTGAAAGCGATTTCCCAGCTCTTTGTAATCAGAACCATCCGACTTCGAACGATAACGATAACGGAGTTATGATTATATAATTATGGCGTACACACGATGCTCCCTGTGAAATTCGGAAAATTTGCCAACTCGTGTGCATGTGTGATACGATAATCACTGTAAGCCAAAATCGAGGAAACTGTGCTAATTATCTTATTTATCCTTTATTTGTTTATTTCTCGGCAATTAAACAAGCAGATTTAAGATCACCAAAGATCACCAAAAGATTTAACATTAGAATCGTGTGTTGCGCGAGTCGAGTCGCCGGTAACGTGGGGTGCCCTTTACAGCGCGTTAGAGCGGGAGAAGTCGGTGTAAATAAACTTATTGTTTGTTGGGAAAAACGAACTTGTCTTTATTGCGTTATTACCCAATACACTTTAATGTACGCGTTCGACAGCGGGTCGGTATCCGAGAGTTGGGAGTTAGAGTCGCGTGTTACAATATCGCGTACGCGTCCGACAGCGTGTCGGTACTTGAGAGTTGAGAATTTGAGTCGCACCCGCACCGGTCTTACGTCTCCTTTTATCCTCGTCCTATGATTTAATCGGAGGGGACGGAGTTGATGTGTTAGCGTCATCTAAACGAGGACGCTGACCATCCTGATTTCGATATCTCTATTGCAGGAATGCCAGGTTGCATTTCTGCATAGCGACGTTTGGTAATACGGAGCCGTGACCCCGTTTATAATCTTTGACATTTATCGTTGCGCTTACAACACGTGGTTGGATTATTTTTGACCCACATGTAGATTCTTTCTTTTTATTTCTTTGGATTTTCATCACTGAGAACTGAGCTTTTTACCGTAAAATAATTAAACAATATTATAAAGTTCGAAAAAGTTCGCAGATAATTACAAAAAAAGAAGTAGGTAAAAAATGACCCATTCGCGGTTCTAGTGTTAATTTGCTTATGTTAATTTAAGTGGTTAGCACTTCTATTTAAGCTGCTCGATTCGAGTTGTATATAGGTTTCGATTACAGTTCTAAGAAACTATCGAATCACAATTGTAACGAACGGGCAACACGGAATACATATTTTGGTGTCGCGCAAGAATTGTTAGAAACGGAGAAATTTACGACGCGTTATATCTCAAACGCGAGTAACTACAATGTATTCGCGTTGCAAAGTCTCACGGAGAAGTATAAATATATGCAATGTACATATCTTGCATCTCGTCTTCAGAGTTCGTATCATCACCGTGATTGCTGAAGACAATTTGAATTTATAATGCGCGGGGGCCACCTTACAATGAGCTGCAAACTGTGTCATTTTCATGGTTTACTTTTTCGTGGTTTACTCCGTCGCGAAAATTTATGCGCAAATTCCCACGTCGAATAACCCGCGATTTTAGTATGCGCCGATGTTTGTATGCCGACAATCTAGGAAAGAGAGCACGATTCCTCGAAGCGGTATTGAAGCGAGCGAGATAAGGGGCGCGGTTTTAATTAAACGAAATCAATGAGAATCGCCGGATCCACGAAGGTAAAAAGAGGAAAGAGAGATTTTCCGCGCTAAAGTTCCGAGGGGATTCGAGTAACACGAGTGTTCTAAGAGCAGGCCTAGAAGAGGTACGAAGATTAAAAGTTCTGGAGTTTTAAGGTTGTTGTGTGTGTAAATATTTTATGTTCTTGGCATCCTGAAGAAGATGCGTGCTTGTGGATATCATGGCTCGAAGAAAAAACAAGTTTAAGAAGATTAGCAGACTCGAGAACACGAAACTTTAAAAATCTGGACATCGAGAATAATAGACCCTTAGAAACTGAAAGCTTGGTGGTTCTGAAGCCCGAGGCACTTGAGCTTCGTAGGAATTAATTTACGAAAATGAAGAATATATAAAACGCGCAAATTTGTATTTTCACAGAGACGCAACCCGAGTCGAAATTTTGGTTCTACACGGAAAAAAATAACCTGCTGACATAGAACAAATTTTATACTGTCGCAAAAAATCTGTCAGTTATTGTATGGACAAAAGTCGCGATAGCGATCAAATTTAGTTGTCGTAAACAAATTAGCGAATTATTCGTAATTTAAAGCAGAAACAGTTGCCAGGATAAAAATTCTGAATGAATATGTCCTTGGAAACGTTAATTTGCTGTTAGAACAAAATACTTTCCTACATTTACTCATTTGTTCTTATAGCAAAATAATTTGTATATTCAGCAAAATAATTCAATGAATTAATATTCTTAACGGATCGTTTTGCTGTCCTAATAAATCTTTTTGTTGTTTCAAATAATTGCTGTTTCAAATAATAAAAATATTTTGCTATTTAGTATTAGTGTTTAGTAACTGAGAAATTTGCTGTGCCAGCAAAATATTTTTTCCGTGCAGTAGCAAACAATGTGCGATTTCGCCACAACAGCGAAATTATTTCTCTCCGTGTACATTAGCCCTGCAAATTCCATTAAACTTGAAAGACCAATGAAGAATCTTATAAGATTATATAAACTATTGTCTTATCTTGATGCTGCAAATATCTAATTGCTTATTGTAGTTTCTTTCACATTGAGTCTCGAAGGAGGATTTACTAAAAGTCTCTAGAATTGTTCCAGATCTTGCATTATATATTTCTCAAAAATAAATATTCGGAATCATTCGATATTTGATTATCGTGATATTCTCTACTCGCATTTAATCCATCGCGGCCGCGTGTCGAGATATTTCCGACAACATACTTTTACCATTTTGGACATGTCGTCGACAATGTTCCGACATGCTCGTCGCCGATCGTTTTTTAAAATTCGCGTCGTGTTATATCTTCTGTTATACAGTAAACAGTAAACGCTCATACTCAAAAACATCTCGTCCGATAAGTTTTAACTTTTATTTTTTATTCTAACAAGCTAAAGCTATGATTATTTATTAAATAATAAAAAACAAACTATGAATATCGGCCTAAATTTCGACTCGGGTATTCTCCTTGTTCGCGGTAAGTTCGTTAAACGTCCGTTAAAATTAGAATCGGAAGCAAGCGGCATAATAATTGATTTTTACCTGTAAATATATAATGCATCACCGGGCCGCATTCGGCATCCTGCTTCAGATCCATCTTGCTGCCGGCTGTTCCGTCGTGGCTCCGGATATTTCCGGAACATGGCACTGACAGTGACACTCGCATGGATACGATTCGACCGTAGACATGCACATGTTAATTAACGCGATGCGCGCCGACGAGGGCCCGATTTAATATTTTAAGATCCGATGAAAATGGTTAACACGTCACAGCCGACTGATCGTGAGAGTGAGAATATGTGCTCCATGTCGCGGTATGTGCATCCTTTGTCGACTCGAGACGTAATGACGCGGTCACAGGTAACATACGCACCCCGTGAGAGTATCAAAACAATGGGCAAAAAGAGCTACGTCACCTGCCGCCGATTGCCAGTTGTCCCCTGTTGTCGAATAACACGTATATTCGGCGGTCGAGAAATCAGGACTGCCAACACACGAATTTTTGAAGCGGTTGGAATTATCAGGATTGCAGCAGAGGCGGTGTGCTGTGTGTAGGAAGTGCCCTGCGACGAAATATGGGAATGTAACAGCCTCGCATAAGCGCTAATCTTTTTTTTTTTCACTCCTATTTAGCTTTGTTGTCGTGCCGTATCCAAATTTAAATCTCTATTGATGTGAAAAATTATTGGACCTATATTACTATATACCGTAAAAAGTTTTATGTTGCGAATGGTCCGATATTTGTGTTATTTTAACAAGGTGAATATGTTAAGAAGTAATATGTTAATAAAGTGAATATGTTAATTTAAAGATGCATTGTCCATAACTCTCAGAATAATGGAAAAATTGTGAAAAAATGTCAGATTGATCTGCATTGCGTTTCAAAGTGACACCAAAAGTTTGATAATAATTCACAGCTTGGGTCAAAAGTTATTTCCACTTTAAAAAAGGTTGTAAGGTGAAATGAGTTTCGTAAGAATTCAATGAAACTGCTTGCATCGCGTATACATTAAAATATTATCTAATTCATTACTTGTGCAATTAGAAAAAAGATTGGCCATTCGACGGTTGAAATAATTAAAGTTGATACTTTTTATACGTGTTTCTTGAGATTAACGGGCTGTTTTTATATTCTATTTATAATACCTTCTCAAAACTAAAAGTAAGATTTTCATGAAAAACACTATGGTGTATTAAAGATTAATAAACAGTGAGATGGCAAGAAAACTTGTTGCTTTATTTATCTATCAACCCCATTGATACTGTAACCATATTGATTAGATAAAATCTGCTTGTCCGACATATTCTCTGCGAGTTATCAGACGTATTCGTCCGCGAATCCCGGCACGAAATCTACGGTTTGGTGTGATAGTTAGAATTTAAACGAAGCCAGTAATTAGTAAAACACAATATTCTCTCGGAGGCGCTGTATTCGCTCGAATGCCTTCAAGGTCCACTGATTCTGACACAATGAAAATTCGATTTAACGCTAAAGCCTGAGAAGACGACGCAAGAGCTCGAAAGGCTCCCGACGAACGTGCGGAATTGAAGGACGATGAAGTACAGTACGATGGGGATTCGTCGGAGCTAATCTAATTTGCTAAACGCCCTCCTAATCCCGATGAAGTCTCCGGCGCGCTTCGCATTCGATGCCCCGGTAGTCGAACGCGCACGAACTTTCGGAGCTCCTTCTGCGTGACAAAGACGGACAAAGGACGAGTTACGCCTTTATTAAAAAATAAATAGGAAAGAAAGAGAGGGAAAGAGGAGGGAAAAAGGGGGAAAAAGAAGAAACTGCAGAAATGTATAGCGGGATAGTACACGCTTTGTGCTTCGAGCGAGGCACCGCGACCGCTCGCGATGGCAGCGTTTCCTAGGAAATACGCGTTCCCCCTAATGTACCCGTCGTGCATCTTGCGTTTTATCCTCAAAGACCGCATCATCCCGTGTGGTCGCTGAAAACAATTTAAATTTGCAATGCAAAGCAGTAATAAGTTCTGGCCGGCCCGCGGCGTACGATTTGCGAAGTGTGCCATTTCGGTTTTTACTTTTTAACGGGCGAGACGAAGGCCGCTCCGACTTGGAAATTTACGAGAGCGTACCGTCTGTGCGCCTCTGCGCGAGCGCGAGCGCGCGGCATATTCTAAAATTATACAACGCGACTGGCTGAATGTGCAAAGTAAATAACGCTCCGCCACGGAGCCCGGCGTGTTGCGCGCGTGGCCGCGGGTGAATGAGCAAAGGGTGATACGTTCGTGGAATTTCACGATCGGTGAGTTTAACTCAAACGCGAGGTACACAGCTCGAACACTCCCCCGTATTTGCCTGATTCGGCTCCGTGTGACTTCTGGCTATTTTCAAAACTCAATGCAATGAAACGAAAGCGTTGTATGATGTTATTCGGGACATTCAAAAGGCTTCAATCGCGGTCGGAAAGGCGATTTCGAAAACGGAGTACGGCGAACGCTTCCAAAAAATGTTCAACCGCTTCCACGTCGCATTGACTTAGAAGGAGTGTATTTTGAGTAAAAAAAAAAAAGTAATCGACGTCTTGTATTTTTTGTTTTCGATATCAGTCGCATCAGAGGCTGGACAGAACTGCGTACGGCCGCGGAATTTCACGACCGGTGGATTTAACTCGAACGAAATATACGTATCACCGCGCGCGCTAACTTCTTGAGTGATTTAACACTTCGGCTGCCGCGTCTTAAACGCACGGATGGCTACGCTCCGCGTTTCCTCTCAGGTGCCGCGCAGTATTTGCATATGGGCGCCGACTTTATTGCGATTCGAGTCAGCTACGCCGGAGAGAGAGCGTCTCCTCGTCTAGCAGGCAGAGAAAAAGCGAGTGTTTGACTTGAGGATAACTCCGGCGAGACACGACGAGAGAGCGCGACGTCACCTTGAGAATCCCGATCCCGTGCCGCTCATGATCGAGGACGGTCCGGATCTCGAGATTGAATTGTGAAAAGATCGACGATACGGATTTCGCCCGCTTGACAAATAACGAATAGGCAATAAAAGAACGACACGGCTGTCTCCCTGACGATCTGACGAGTGAAAAATCCTCTTCGGCAAAGTTAGAGAGAAAGAGAGAGGGGGGGGGAGGGAGAGACAGACAAAGAAAGAGAGAGAGAATGGGACGAAGGCACATCACGGCGAGAACACGATTACTTCCAAACCTTTATTCGTACAGAGCTGTCGGCGTACATTAAAAACGTGCTAGGTTTGTCACCGTTTCTCGACGAGAGAGAAAGAAAACGAGAAATAATGAAACATTCGTTCTTACAGAAGTACACATGCTCCAAACGTGTGTGTATGTGTGTGTGGACGAGTCGAGCGAGAACGATTGGAGCGTCAACACGCGGGGCGAGATTGCCTTTATACAAGTACGAACAATACACTCCACGATAAAGTTTGCACATTACATTAAAAATGATGAAGTTTAATTACAGGATGGGCGTGCGACGCGCGGGTACCCACGCGCGCGTCGATCGGCGAACGACGACGCGCGTATCGACACGCGCGCGGTTCGCGCGCGCCGATCGGGATGACGCGAGCGATGGAGCGACACTTTCCGGGGCACGACGTCCCAGAGAGAAGAGGAAATGACGATGACGTCGAAATGACGAGAGAATGAAACTGTGAAACTCACTTTTCCACAATTTTGTTTTCGTCATTTCGACGTCACTTTCACGTCATCGTCATTTCCCGTTCCACCCGGGATGTCGCGCCCCTCGGGTGCGTTTGATTGTTTTTCCTCTTTCTTTTTATATATATATACATATACGTATGTACATAATACGTAACAGATATAATGTACATAATGATATACATATATATACAGACTGTCGTTTATGCTTGACGAATGGCGACAGGCGTTCTCCGGCGGCGCGGGCGCGCGGATGGAACGCTCGCCGATGGAAGCTCGTCGCGAAGGTTCTTACTTAATCTTACTAGCCGAAGTCGGCAAGAAATCCTCGCGTCCCGGCGACGATTCCTTAAACTTTGCGTCGCGGGTCGTTAACTCTTAATTAATCGCTAGTTATGTATTAGTACGAGGGACGAGAGACGACGGTCGGCGAGACGTGACGAACGGACCCGACGTGACGAGAACGGACACTGAAGAAGAAGTGGAAGAAGTAGTAGTAGAAGAAGAACAGCGGTAAAAGAGAGTAACAAGAGAGAGGGGCGGCGGAGACTGTGAAAGGGTGTTGGTAACGTAGTGAGAGAAATAGAAAAATTCTGTGGAGCGCGCGCGAGAGGCGTGTATCACCGGAAGTGTCAACACACGCGATAATAAACCGGCGGCGAGCAGTAGCGAGAAAGGGACGGACGCGTGTCCCGATAACTCGATCGAGTGAAAACTTCCGCGACACCGTACTCTCCGAATAAATCCGAGATGAATCCTCTTCAATCTGCGCGGTGGTACTCGGCGGCGACGTGTTAAGGCGGATGTACGCTCAGCGAACAAACAACGAACGAGCAGCGAATGTGTGTATATTCATCACTCGGAGAAAGAATTAGCTCTAGGGGCCAAAGCTGAACTGCGACAGATAAAATGCGTTTTTGAAATGTTTTCGAAACAGGGCCAGCTAATGCCGTCGCTGTCGAAGCTAAATTTATTCTGAATTTCATGCGCTATAGCGAAAAAGATATTTAATAGAGTACATATAATGATATTAAGATCATGTTCACATTCCCGACGAAAAATTTGTCGCTTTCAACAGAAGCTGTCCTTAAGGTGTTAGTGTATGCTGATTTTGCTTGGAAATTTCGCAAAGTTTAATTGTAATTAAATGCTACATCTGAGAAACGCGTTTAAGCACTGATAGAATCGAATCCGAGAAGTCTGGATCGTGAGTTAATCATCTTGGGTATTGCACGACTTCGTCTGTTGATACAAAAGTGTTTCGTTTGTACGTGCTATAACCGGAAAGAGAGAGCACAAGTAGCCCACCTTAAGTCACTCGTGCTGATAATTTCTGCTAATGAAGCTGTATTTCACAACAAATTGCATTTTATCTCAAACAGTCGACTTTTAGCAATATTAACAAAGTTTAAATTAGCTAACGATATTTAACTGCTATCGCTAAATCGTTTCTCTGAGTGCGCTTATAAACGCGTACGAACTTTTTTTGATAAACCTTACGAGGAGACAAATCAGTCCGAAAAACGTCCAGTTTCGGATTCCAGTTTTCGTGGCGTACACTCAATTGTCACTGGCGTACTTTGTATTGTAACAACAAAAATGTGCACTCGCTATTCGTTCAGTGTGTACGCAGCTTTACCGCTGCGACACCGCAAACGAGTCCAGCTCGCGATATCGAATGATGATCGTTACGCCCGATTTTCCCCGTGACGAAAACTACGAGTCCGAGCGGTAGTTTTTAAGTTGCAAGAGACGCAGAGGAGCGAAGAGGGGAGCTTCCTCCTTCGAGCGAAACTCTAGGAATCCGAATGGATTACGAAGTTCTGTCCTTAATTTTTAAGCGGGGCTTTGCTCCGTGATCAAATTCTGATTTAAAAGTTGCCCGCTGAGTGCGAGCGACGATTTTCTAGGCGAATTTCAATTGGAAAAAAGGAACGCGATTACTACACGTCGCACCGAGCACGCGCGATCACATTTTGGGCGTTTAGCTCTTGTCGTCAAAATTCCGATCGGCGATTGATGCGAAGAGCCGCGTGAGTCGCGAGATGCGCGGAAGATCCGGAAGACGAGACTCTCTTCTTTCTAATCGCCTACTATTAATTATCCTATCGCCACGCAGACTTGCAGGTCCGTGTTAACAATCGTTGTTTGAAACCCGCCCCATGTGAAATACCCAAATCTGAATTTAGAGTTCAGAGAGAGCTGGATTGGAATTTTCCAGTGAAATTTTACAATGCACGTGACATCCTATTTGCAATCGCGATGTCAACTGAAAAATTCAGATCTCATTCTGAATTCAAATCAAAGTGTCCCACTTGAGGTAAGTTTTAAGTAACAACTGTTATATAACACAAGCCCCAAAGTCTTAACCAAAGCGGAGGAGAGTCACCAGGCCGGAGCAGAGATGGCCGTGTTCTCTATTTTCTCTCTCCCTCTCTTCCTAAGTAACAATCAGTTCATCGCGAGGTGGCTAATTCCGCCTCTTTGTTATCACGAAGGATCACGATCAACCGTGCGAATAAATAAAGGTGAAACGTAACGGAAGAAACAAGAAGAAGAAAGCGAAGGGAGAGAACACCACGGCGCAGCCGCGAGCCTCTGCGGTTCGAATCCTTCTCGCTCGAAGCCCGGCTCTCGCGAGGTCGCGTTTCCGCGGCGCGACGATGTGACGTTGCGTGTGTCGGCCCCCCGGTCTGGGTGTGTGACGGTTTTCCTTTTCATTTTCTTCCCCTCGAAACCTCTCCTTTCATTATGTTTTTTCATGGCAACGGTAATACTAACGACAGTAGAGCGATGACGATAATAGTAATAATAATAGTTTATTTTAATCGATAACAATAATTTATTATCGTCCGCAGCGACGACGCGTCCATCTGTGCGCTTCTTCGCGAAAATATATGTAATGTGTGTATATATGTATATGTGACATACCTATATATGTATTTATAGTAATCTCTCCTCCGTGATATCGCCGCGTGCGCGACGGTGTATTTACAATGATTGCTTAACTCCCGCGAGACATTGTTTATATCGGACTCTCCCCGGTGGCGTAAGTTTCGTGCGTGTCCGGAGGCGAACATTTGTTCCGCGATCTCTCGTCGCACGAGCCATCCGTAGCGACCTTGCGCTTTGCGTTATCTCTTCCTCTGTATATTCGAAAGGGTTTCTCTTTTTTTTTCTTCTTTCTTTACTGCCAAAGAACGTCCTTACACGTGTATATGTATATATGCATGTATAGGTGATGGACCGCGAGGTATTGCCAAAGGCAGAACTCGCCGTTGCAGGTGCTGCTATTGGTGCTACCGGATCGGTGGCTCGTGTGAGAGAGGTTTTAGTGATACCACAATGTACTTTTGCGATCGTTCGCGGACACGCCACACTGTGGTACCACTAGGCACGGCAAATCGCGTGAAAGACGCTTCATCACGGCGGCCTCCAGTCGCGAAAGTTACGTCACACTCGCTCGAAGCCGGTCATCGTTCGTTTCTCCCCGCAGAGTCAACACTCGACGACACCCTAACTCCTCGTCGGATTTCCTGCCGGCGGGTCGAACGATTCCTCCGGGCGATCCTCACTCTCTCCGGCTGACCTCCGTGTGTGTGACCTATGTGGCGCACCTTCGGCGCGCGTCGCACGCGGCGATCCCCGAGGGGATCCCGGAACGGCGCTGGTCGGGTTGCTTCGTTCTTCCTTTCGCTCCCCGTGTGCGACCGGATCCTTCCTCCCTGGAGGACGCAAGGACCGTCGAGAGTGTGCTCTCGCCCACCTATCTCCGCCTCTCCCCTCATCATTCTCTCTCGCGACTGTCCGCTGGAGAAACGCGCGCGCGCGGACGGACTGTGGCGTCATTGAGCGTTCCAGGTACGGGTGACCGTCTTTCTTTTTTCCACGTCGAAACGAACCTTCCGGAGCTACGGAGGATTCAGTCGTTCGTGTGGCTGACAGGAGACCGGGTACCTAATCTCTACAGGTGTATCATCGCCGTCTCGGAAGTTGAAGAGGCGCAGGAGGGGAAGATTCCTGATAAAGAGCACGTGATTTCGCGAGGATGACGCAATTTGCGTCTCGACGGAAGATTCGAAAGGAAGACTCGAAGGCGACAACCTTCACACCGCGAAAGAGAAGTCGACTAACCGTGTCGGGGCAATCTGGTGGCCTTCTATTTTTACGAACGCGCTAACGGGACCGGCATTTGCGTGTCGTTCGGGGACGGGGGTTGGCTGTAATGCGGTCAACTTCACTCCGATTGAAAGTGGAGGTCGTTACCGTAACTCGTTCGCGATAGTCAAGGACACGGCCGCCGAGCGAGATCTTCAAGGCAGGCGAGGGCAGATAGAATAAGAAGAAAAGAAGATGTCAGATAAAGAGAAAATATAGAGATAGAGATAGAGAGATTAAGAGAGTAAGAATGTCACATCGATAAAACGAAGAGAGACTCGAGAAGAGACAGAGAAAAAACGGCGAAGAAAAAAAAATAGCGCGAACCTGAGAAAGGAAGAAAGAAAGAGAAAGAGATACAGGAAGACCGGGGAGAGAAAGGGAACACTGAACTGAACGAAAGATTAACGCTCAACTTCTCGCCGCTCTTCTTCGTCCTTCGCGCGAAGAAGATCGTCGAGAGGATCGTTCCTTCGTCATGTCGCGACCACGACTCTCACTTGACGGATCTCGCTCGAAGACCTCGAAGACGATCGTCTTCCGCGCGGATGTTCCCTTCGGGAACGCGAACGACGTCGAATCGATCGGCGGCTAGCTGGACAGGGAGAGGAAAAGGTTGCTGCGTGGCCGTTGCGTTATGCGCGCGCTAACGCGCCATTGTGTACAGAGTTATCGGCGCGTTTAAGGGTTAAAGGACTACAAGGCAGCGGCTCCTCTACTTTCTCGCCATCAGCTACATCGTTCCCCGCTCGGGTAGGAAACTAAGGCTGGGTTGCACCAACGAGTCTCGACTCGGCCAATCCGTCGCCACGATTCCGTCCGGCGCGAGGTATCGAAAGTTAGCGGAGGACGTTCCCGTGGACATACCACCGGGTAACGCGAATGTTTCACGAGAAGATGCTCCATCCGGACGTTAACGTGGAAGTTGAATCGTGCCGCGCGCGAAATCACGACGAGAGAGCGATTCTTCTCTCGCGTTTTCCGCGACGACACCTCGCGCACGGGTGCCGACGTTGGTGCAACCGGCGCCCTGAGAAGGCACAGTCGTTGAGTTAAGAACGTTAATTGCGACTCTAGACACCGAGGACCGAGAGATTTTCCTATCGGGCTATCCCCAAGCTATTCGTTCGCTTCGTTCTCGTCGCTCTCTCGGGCGGCGATCTCGAGTCGAACGAACCCCTCGTCGCAGCGATCTTGCGGAGGGGGAGAAGAGAAAGAGATGATAGAAAAGAAAGGAAGCAGCGGCGGCGAGGCGGTACTGCAGCGCGTTAGCCAGCGACTAAGGGGACCCTGATGGCCGGCGGGTGGTTGGTTCTACGAGTTATCGAGCACGTTGCTACTGGTTGCTGGTTGCTCTACTGCTGTTGTTACTCCGCTGCTGCTGTTGTTGTTGTTGTGACTGTTGTTTTTTTTTTCTGTTGTTATTATAGCGTCTCTAATGTCTGCGCAAGCGCGCCGGTCTATTCGCCACGCTTTGTTCGTTTGTCTTTGCTTTTTCGGGTTGAGCTTGTTTTGCGCGCTCGGTGGCGGCGAGGGCGGATTGGGGTTCAAGCCTGGGGGGCCCACTTGTCGACGACTACCTCATTTACTGCAACATAACACACACAAGAGTTGCGATTAACGACAACGGCCGACAGACGCTGAATGGACGAAACTAAAAAGCGGAAACAAAATTGCTCGGCGTCTCGGTGGCCGCGCTCTCCTGCGCGCGCGGGCTCAACCTCCGGCGTCGTCCTCTCTCCTCTCGACTTCCGGCGGTCTGAAACGATCGGTTCTCGGATCAATCGGGGATGGGAGGGCTGACCGGGCAAACTGACCGGGTTCGTGCGCGGTCGAACGAATGTACGGATCCTCGTGATAGGATGCAGTCACGGGGTCGTCGCGCTCTTCAGAATCGACAGTCTCGCGGAACCGGTCGATCATCCGCGTTACCGCGAACGACATGACTATTTCGCTTGATAAAGAATGAAAAGTGAACGTACACGCTTGTCTCGAGAGAGACGCGACAACGTCGCGTGGTTTCCGATAGTGGATAGTAACGACGAGTGAGATGAAGGTAACCAGCCTCGGAGCAAGTAGAATCAAGTAGAATCAATACCCTTATTCGTTTATCATCACAACCATCACATCATTAGAAACCCGCTAGAGCGCGTACAACGTGTAATAATAAATAAATAACAATATCAGTTATACAGGCAGACGTAGTCGCGTGCGACTGCGATATAATACCCTATACACCATAAAACTACTCGTACATTCGTTCTGTGTTCCTTCTTGTTCGTTTGTGTTTTTTTTTTCTCTATTTTCTTTTTCTTTTCTTTTTCATATCCCGCGCCGGGGGGAAGGTCGGTCTCGAATCACCGTACGCGGACGTGCGTACGTACGCGTGCGTGCATGCATGCATGGTTGGTGGTTGGTTGATGCTTTATTACGGTGCATATGTGCGGGGTACTTTGGTTCAATTGGGATCTCTCGTGATTTTTTTGCTTTTTTTTTTTCGGTTCGGTTATTAAAGACGTCCGGTCCCATCGAGCAGCTCGTGAGTGTCGTGTGAGTGCTGAGTTGCCGATTTCTCGCGGCCGATTTTAGCTGTCTCTCGGATCCTCGCCCTCTCGTTCTTTATTTCAGCGAGGTCACTGGCAGCGCCACTGCAATCATACGAGGGTAACAACGATTATTTCACCACACGCCAAGCCACTCTCGCTGGCTTAGCTCGTAAGCCTCGCCGGTCCACTACGGGCGGGATGCAGCAGCTGCTAGTCGACCAAGCCTGCCAGCGATGGCGATACGGTTGTTAACGCAGCGGTGGATGCGTGTGCGCTTAATCGTGAGGAGAGAAATCGAGTGTCACATCGGAGATATTATTAGGAACAAGTATACTGCGATATATCCTTGAGAAAAAATTCTTAGTGGTCCGTTAATCGTGGAGATCAGAGTGTAATGACGGAAGCAATTGTTATGTAAAAAATGAATCGATAAACACGAGGAGATAGATTATTGTTTTGAATTATACAGAAAATATAGAACACTCGACAAATATTCTAAATACTTCTTTACACGAATGGAATGTCTGTGTGTGTTACATGACCAAGAGATTACGTATTACATGACGGAGAAAATCACAGTCTCTCTCAACATCGGTAAGAAGACACAGCTGTCAAGTAGCTAATGTTCCCATTCGGAATGTATCTCGTGTGGAGTGAGAGTGTGTATGTGTGGGTGTTACGGCATACAGTTAATTAAATGCTATCTCGCGAGTCTTAAAATTGGCAGTTTCAACGTTACCTGTGTCGTCCGGAGCGCCGTAGCCGTTCCCGAAGACCGCTCTTCCATGAGTCCGGTGACTGTACAGTTTGGCACACCAGCAGGCAGGAGTTAGCAAAAGGGGGTGACGAGGTCGCGCGATGTGTCGCGCGGAAAGGGGGGTCTTTTCAACTTCCTCGATATTTTTGGGACTTTGGGTCATTCCGACACGACAGTTATCACATCGGTCTGTTTTCCAGTGAATGCATGCAGAAAAATTCCAAACAACAGATTTCAGATAGAATGAGGAGAGAAGAGGGCGGCGAGACACACAGTAGCCACGATTAATGGAACGGAGACATCGCTGGATTCGCCGAGAGTCGAGAAACAGCATTTCGACGTCACGTACGAGAGAATGGGGGCAGAGTAGTTATTTTCCGAAACCTTGCCTCCACACAGGTGCGACGTGGCAAACTTGTACGACGTGGTGGTCCCCACTGACCAAGTCCTCGTATGAACCTTTCGGTTTGTCACGTTGAAAATTATCAGAGATCCGAGCTACCTCAGTCGTTGAACGAGCGGACCGTATTATTTTATTCAAGTGTGTAATAGGAATTTATATTTTTAATCAGATAATTACAAATTAATGATCCTTGGTAGAAATTTGGATAGGAATAAATTCTCTCTCTATCGTTTGATTATGAATGAAGAGAGAGGTGAAAAGAAGGTTCAATTTTCGTCATAAAATTGCAAATTCAAATCGCTCCGGTCCACCGAGGTCCAAACGTCTCAAGTCAGCTCCGATTACAATGACGGGATGTCGCAGGATGGATAACAGATAATAAGAAAAAGAGACATTAAATTAGAGTGGTTTAGGCGAATCAAACACTTATTACGTCAACGGTGTGTCAAGTGTTCGATCCGCTGTTACACACATACACACACACGACGGCAGCTCAGGACAGATCGAAGCGAAACTCGCTCGATTAGTAGTGAGGCCGAGATCATTGAGAGTCGGTACACGCATTAGTAACACATGATTCTTTTATTATAACAAGTAATGTACTAATCGTACCACCCCGGCATACGTTCGCTCACTTGTTATAATATCGTTCCGTACGAGCTCGTATCGAATACACGACAAGGACGACAAAAATCAGACGATAAATAAAACAAATCGTAAACGGGGACCAGCGTCCAATACAAGGAAATGACGATAATTACATGACGAGATGTAGTTATGCTTATCGTATTATATATAGAACTGCATCGTAACCCGCGTAACGCGGTCGGATTCGTGTTATAATTTCTCTCTGTATTTATACCTCTTTATTTCTCTTTATTTACTTTGTTTGTTTTTTTCTTCGTTTCTGTTCTCGTCTCTACGAATTACCGGAATTATCACCCGGACTCGTGCCGGGCGTCATACGCCGCGAAGCGCGATCTGCGCGGCGGATGTATATATATATATAATATATATATATATATATATTTATTTATTTATTTATATTCGAAATCACTCGATGTTCATAATGCATTCCATAAGTTATTAATATTAACATTATTTTATTATCGTTAGAGATAGGTACTTCCTGCAGGAAACGACGCGATCGTAGTCTCATCGTCGCTGGACACCGCGTTTGTTCGTAAACGACGTCACACAAGGGTCGATGAGAATGTTCACCGAGAGACCAGTTTTCAGAATATAGACTCGTGAGTTGAATTTAACTTGAATTTTTTTCCAGAGACAAGGAGAGGAGGAATTTTTCCCACTCGCCTTTTCCTTCGTTTTGTTTTCTCTCGTCCGAAAAAGTCACGGATTAATAGATTGTACACGTGATATTATGTGAGGTATGCAAAGAGCCGCAGGGAGAACGAATCGTTACCTTCATGGTTCATCGTCGGGAGGTAGCACGATAATAAATAAATTAAGAAAATGTACACGCTAAAATAATTTCACCTTCTGACAAGCGAACACATCGATATTTGCATGACGCCACGCAGTATTCTCTCTTCGTCGAGATGGCACTACTCCGTCATTCTCGATCAACGTAAGATACAATGCACACTCAAGTACTTACAGATACATCGTGGACGAACGCAGAGCGTGACGGGCGATCCGGACGCAACGAGACCTCAAGTCAATACGAATCCCGAAGAAGCCGACGAAAAGCGGACTCCGGACGCGACTTCACGAGCTTGTCGTTTCTCACGAGAACGATTCCGCGGCTACTCATGCTGTTTCGTGTTTGGATTTCCTTCTTTTCTCCTTGTCGTTCCATGGACGACGACAAGACGGAACGGAAAAGCGAAACGGTAAAGATGTAGCGGGAAGTGACCAATCAGAGAGATCGTCAGAAATTCGCACATATGCATCAAAAATAATTAGGATTTACTACTGGAAATATTACACGGGAAAAGAGAATTTTAATTCTTAAACTTATAATAACTTTATAAATTCCTTGTAACTGCATTTAATTTTATAAAACTTTTAGAATTTATTATAGTCATATCTTTCTTATGAGATTATTTTTATTTACCATAAGCAAGCAAATTTGATTTTCCACTTTTACGGATTTCCGTGCACGAGGAACACGGTCATTTAAGATCGGAACAGACTGGTATGATTTATACAGATATCAATAGAACATCTAGACTGCTATTTTGGCTGAAATACATGACTCCAAAAAATATGTGCAAAACCTCATGCATGAGTGTGACAGATGTTTCTGATTGATTGAATGTCATGTCTCTAGGCACATGTAGACATACGTGTGTGTAAGCACACATAGGCATTAACTTTCATACATTTAACTAATAAGACATACGTATCTTTTATTTTACGAATGACGTATATATAATTTCTGGTGCTCATTTTTCTACTTGCAAAGGGTATGCAAATCTAGGTATTATATAGATGGCTGTGTATGAATAAATATGAATGACCACATATACGTTTAATTTTGTGATAATATTGCAATAATCAGGGTTGATTCACAGAAAATGAATTTTGAAATTCCCTGCCTTCCCATGTTTTCCAAACGATAATGGAGAATTTTCCATGAGCAATATGTAATCTTAAACTTTAACGTTTGGAAGCAGGGATTGCCGGAAAGGTAGCTTATATTATTTGAAGAAACATAAACTTAAAAGTCTAATAACATAATATGGCCCTGAATACAAATTCAGGCCAACAAAAAATAAATGAATATTGGAAAAAAGAAGACAGTTGAGGGCATTTAAGAGAATTGTGAGCAAAGTTCAAAATTCCAAGATTTTTTATATCCTTCCCTGACCTTTCCAGGTTTTCTCTGGCGTTTTAAATTTCCACGGATTTGCTCGGTTCGCCAGGTATGTGACAACCCTGAATAATATAATCGATGATAGTGTTTTGATTTGAATTTTTATCAAACGGGGACAAGTATTTCCAGTAGTAAGTCCTAATTTTAGGTATAAATATACGAATTTCTAACAATCGTTCCGACTGGTCATCCCCCACTACATCCTTTCCATTCCGCTTTCTCGTCGTCTACGAGAACGGCACTCTCGGATTTCTCCGAGTTCGATCGAGCGTGGACTCGAAGCCATCTTCGAGCTCCTTCGAGACCCGTCGCTTGCGCCCCGTTGTATCCGAGTGCCCGCGTTTATTTTCGTCGACTTTATTGAGCGTCGCAGAACTGCATTAGACTTTGCACACGGGCGTCGGTTCCGGCGCGCGATACCTGTGCTTCGGTAACCGTGCTTCGTCAATTAACCGACCGCGTCCGAACCGGAAACGCGCACTCGAGAATTCTGCGTCTCGGCAGGGTGAGCGCTTGAAGACTTTCAAAGAAGCTGGCCCGAGAAATTGTCAGATAAGAACGGATCGAGCTCTCGATCTGGCTTTATCTCCTTCACCGACACCCCGGAAGCCTTCGAGTCGGTCCTACGAAGACCGATTAAAGTTAACCGAGTTTTAACAGATTCCCCGCCCGGTTCTCCGTCTCTGCGAAGAGACAGGTAGTCACGTGAAGTCTGGTTAACTTCCACCGGTGTTTACGACGGAAATTCCTTTTATGAGCGGAGATCGCAGTTACTTGGCGCGCGCGTGGAAATCTGGCGCAGCTTGACGCCGCATCTGTCGCCTCCGATACTGTCGTCGCTTCTGCGAGACGCGGAATTCATGCGGCATCCGTGCGGGTATCTCGAGCAAGGATCACGGCGCGTACACACACACACNCACACACACACACACACACACACACACACACACACACACACACAGGTATCAGCAGAAGAACACGTACGCCCGTAGCTTATCTCTCTTTTTCTCTCGCTGGGAAACCAATTGCGTTACTTGCGGAACAAAACACTACTCGAGACACAAGTTCGTTAGTGCGGGGCAGCGCTAACTCGTTCGGTCCGATTAAGTTTAGTTATGCCCATACCAAAAGTATCACGCCTTAACCGTTACTAATTAATTAATTAATTAATTATATTACACTATATCTCTCTCTCGTAACCGCGTGCGACCGCGGCCGACTTCTGAGGTGCCGACACACTACGGCGCAATTAAATAATTATTATTATTATTATTATTATGCGTCGCGCGCCGATAACAGCGGGCGATCCACTCCTCCGCGGAACACATCGTCAGTCTTGTTGCGTTTGCACGTGTTCGAGAAGTGGCGCGCGCTGAATCTCGCGGCGATCTCTACGAAGATCCGGACAGACCCCTGGATCGCGAACTGCTGGTCGAAGGCATCCGCTCTCGCGACGCGACTCCCGATTCGTCCTTCCGCCACCGGCCGATCTCGCTCTCTTTGTCACCGTGCGAGTTTCTCGTCGCTCTTCACGGCGGAGCTCCGGTCGGACGCAGCCAAGAGACGAAGTTCAGAGACACGGCGCGTTCGTGAGACGAGAGCTTCGCGCGTGCCGTTGGGCCGATAGAAAAAGGAACGACTGAAACTGGCACAGCCTGGTGGTGTCTTTCTTTCCTGGCACTTCCTCGATTTCGGTCTTTCCTCCTCGATCGGCCAGCCACGATTACGCTCCCACCAACAGAACACGCTCCGAGGGGGGGTCAACTGACCCGAACGGCCAGGTGCATCGAAGGCCCACGTACTCGTGACGACACCGATATTCGTTTCGAATGTGGCGCGTGTAGCTAAGGCAGTGGCCGAACCCGTGTGCACTCAATCGACAAGTGTCCCCGACCGATCGAAATCACGCGTTCTGCCGGCTCGACGGACGAACTTTCTCGCCTGCCGAGGAACGATTTCAGCCAGACGTCACTCGTTAAAACGGATTTCGTGGCTTGCCGAGACGAAGCTACGGTGTTGAACAATTTATGCGATGGGGAACTCGTTCTTCTCAAATCGGCAATACAATCGTCGAATGTGAGCGAAAAATTCATCCGTCGAGCTGCTTCGTGTATTTGCACAATTTCGTTGAAATCAGATTTCTAAGCGTCTAAGAAGGATGTTTTTTCGTAAGGTTTCGGTTGCGAACAGGTCTGTAACGAACGAATGAATACGAAAAGACTTTCAGGAGAAGAGTGTGTAGAACGCTAAGCGTAAAGTGACTATCGCTGGTATCGGCGGCAAATTTATTAAAAAAATAAAAGAAAAGAGAGAATAACCGTGTCATATTTTCATTAATTCTACGAGGAAAGGATAACAACAACTTGATATCGCTGTCAACACAAAACGGACAATCAATCTCGTTATTGAGTGTTTGCGTGTTCGGGACACTGCTCTGATAATAGCATGAACAAATTTATCAGAAAAACGCATGGACTGCCCCGTCTGTTTCGAGCGCACGAGAAAGGACAAGTCACGACAGTTTCCTCTGTTTGACGGTTGCCTTATTTTTACACTTACGAGCCTTTGCAGTCCATATCCGGAAATTAGCGATACGCAAATCTCTTGCATGGCAATAAATCTTTAGAGAATACATAAAATCACACGTATATGGGGGGACACACATGGGGAGCGGGGTGCGTGGGTGCGTGCGTGCGTGCATGCGTGTACGCAATGGGAGAACTTAGAGAAGATAATCCTGCTGTGCCAGTCACGTTGGCGCTGCGAATAATTTCCAAAAAGAAAACGCATATGTCCTTGCTGAATAACTCCGCGTGACGACTAATTCGTTCACAAGAAGAGGCTAACTTTTTATGTAAAGATATTTACAAAATTTCACTTACACGATTGTCCCGTTTGATTGTGTTCACACAGGATGTGATATGATACGACGCTCATAAACGCGTGACAGAACGCATTACTGCCGCTCCGCGGAAACTTCAACGACGTTGTCGCCTTTCATTCTCGCGGAGGGGCTCGCGAAAGTCGTCGCGCCGGCACAACAGGACTTACAATATGGTAACCGAAGAAAGGCAGATTACAACACAACAAAGTGAGGGTGGATCTTGTAGAACGTGCTGTTAATATCGTACCGTGCATGCATTTAATCACTCCGGGTGGGAGGGAAGGAAGACACGGGTATCGTGGGACACAAAATGAGATCCGTCAATGCGAAGTCCCTGTACTATCATTCTCTTGAAATTTGTCAGGCAGCTTCCAAGTTTTTGACTTCACGCTCGAAGCGGGCACACCAGACACTGAGAAACCAATTAATGCATGATTTATAACAAGCGACACTGAAAGCAACGTAAAATGTGTATAAGCGTAATTTCATGAACAATTATGGATTAATCGCGCGAGTCGAAACGATTATTGCCAATTTGGGCGGCGTGCGTGCATTAGGCTCAGCCTGAAAAGAAAATTAGAAGGGAGACGAGTATAACCACTACTATATAGAGAGAGAGAGAGAGAGAGAGAGAGAGAGAGAGAGAGAGAAAGGGGGGAGAGATTCCATCTATATTTCTGCCGATGGTTACTTATTGTCTTCGTTGTGTAAATGCGCGTATATACTCTAACAAGACCGCCTAGTGACACGAGTCGTGTAGGCGCCATATGTGTGTGTATGTGCGTGCGTGTATGTGTGTATGACCGTCTGCAACTCGCGCGCCGCAGTCGTCGCTTCGCCCGATTAACGAGCAAACTACTTTGTACTTTCCAAATCGATCGGGATCAATCGCACGAGATGTTGCGTCAGCGTACAGGTCAGTACGACCGGGTTGCCTACTCGCTTCTCCAGCAGGCGCACGCGCTCAGACGCAGCACGGTATACTCGTTCGCAAGATATTTTACTAACTTTTTTCTCCAACCAAAAATGTGAAAAGTGTGATACGTTTGAAAAGTTTGTCGACTGAGAAAGCTGGAAAGGACACCGGTCAATGTGACATTACTTGGAAGTTTCGTGCACGGTTGTGTGAAAATGGGTACGATTACTTCTTCTGATTTAAAAAAAAACGAAGTTCATATCAATCTGAATCATTGAAGAGTTTCAGTATCGCTGTGACAAAGTGATCGAATAAGTGATGTGAAAAAATAATCACGATATGTCACTGAATGAAGTTCTTCCTCCTGTATAATGTCACGATCGGATGAACGCTCAATTACGGTGCGTTTACTGAGAAAGGTGAAAAAAAGACCAGCATTGTGACATTACTTAAGAGTTTCGAGCACAGTCGCGTGGAAATGAATACGATTGCTTCTGCCGATTCGAAACCAAGTTCGTATCAATTTGATCATTGGAGAGTTTTAGTATGGCCGTTACAAAGGGTCGTAATCAAAAGGAGCGATATTGAAGATATCGGCGATATCTCGCTGAATGTGACAAATCGTTTTACAAGCGCGCGTACCTCTGAAGTAGTTTCGAGGCCGTGTTTGAGTGCGCGCGCGCGCGCGCGCGCGCCTACCAGTAAAGCGAATAGACAGCCCGTCATATTGGTCCGTACGTCGGCGCAATATCCTGTACGTCGCGAACGTGTGCATGGGGATATAAAAATTTGCGTCGTAAAAACTACGATCCTTCACGGCTCGAGGGCGATCCTCGGCGCGTCCCTTCCCAGCCGTCCGGTCCGCGGTGAATCCGGCCGCTACTTCGACGGCGGACGATATCGCGCGCCGTTCTCGCGGTTCGTCCCGATTCCTTTTCGGCGTCTAACTAACTAACGCAACACATTTACAGTGTGATACATCTATATATGCTAAGCGCGGTACTAATATAAAAAAGATGGTGTTATACACGGGACCCGGCTGGGACGAAACCGCGACGTCGAGCGCTCCGACTCTCGACGTGCAACCGTGAACGACTTCATCGGCGAGAAACACAGATGGAACACGGCATGCGTGGAATCAAGGTAAGTCCTACTGCTTGTTAGTGTCCTACGGAATCGCCACAATTATCATATCGGGTGCTAACTAAGTCAAAGAGTGCGAGAAGAAATGGGAAGAGAAAAGAAATGTATAAATAAGTGCATGGGAGGGAGCGGATTGGGGGAGCCATCGAACATATCTATATATCGGAAAGAACATCTATGAACAAGTTCCGTGTTTGTTGCAGAGGAAATTCAATGTTCAAAAGGCACTCGTAGAAAATAATTTAACGATCACAATCTTTGATTACGACGGGGGTCTCTCTTAGATCACTCGATGCCAGTCGAAACTCGTGATCGTTGAGCGACGTCAGAGGGGGAGGGGGGGGGGTACGGTGTGTATGATGCGGGCATGGTGGGCCTTGGTGGGCGTATTCTTTCTTTCTTTTTTTTCTTTTCTTTTCGTATGGTCGTACTAACACCATGCACAACAGTCAAACTGTGGTTAAAATCTCACTTGAACGCACTCTCTGTTAATAACTTATCTCGCGCCTTCCCGCGTCACGGAGGGAAGAGCTTCGGTTAAATGCAAATTGCAAGTCCAAGGATTTAGTCGCGGATGCTTTTCCATAGGAAAAAAACATCGTCTGCTAGACTAACAATATTATCTCACGGACGTTCTATATGGGACAGATATACAACAGTTCAAAGAACACAGCCCACATTAGAACGATCCAATGCACGGTGTAAATTGGATTCTCACCGTCTGTGATCTTTCTGGCAATGAACTTCAAGGTTTCGTCGAGAAGTACCACTGGAATGGAGAACTTCATAACGGTAACCCATTCTTCACCCGTTAGCGGGGTCACTTGGAATACGGACTGAAACAGAAAGGTTAAAGGTGCTCACGTCCCATAAAGCTTCCGCGTGACGCTCTTTCGCGCTTTGAGTGCCACTTGTCATCGCAGAAATCCGATTGAAAAAAGTGCCGAGCTGCGTTCTTGAAGAGAACGTGCAGATTATGTGCTTGTTCATTCGTTTCTTTTTATATATAAAACAAAAAGAATTGCTGCAAAGATTACGAGAGCAAAAATGTTAGTTTATCGAAAGTTTTTCAAACAGCAACGCCGATGACGCGCTGCGGCAGAATTCAAGCGAACAATTCAGTTGAACCTCATAGGTCGATGTTGCGGCACTTTTCGACAGGGAATTCGAGCTGAGCGATTCGCATTGCGCGGCACTCGAACGGTTAAACTACTACCGGTGGCTGTCAGATCGTTCGCTGCTGAATTTCCGACGCGAGCAGACGCGCACACTTACCGAAAGAACATCGACGTACAGGATGACGAAGTGGAGTGTGAAAGAAAGGGCCATGGAGGCGATGAGCCACATGTTAGACCAAGGCGGCATGGAGATGAGCGACTGATTCTCGGACAAACTGTGTGGAAAATGCAGATTTTGTCGTATCACAAGCGCGGAAAGTCAATTCGAATGCATGGGACACGTCGGGAATCCTCCTCTCACCTGTTCATGGCATTTAACATTTCAATAGTGACCAACACAGAGAGAGCCATCGTCATGGGGTGAGGGTCCGCGAAGATCTTGCAGTTGACACCCTTGAACTCTTCTCCACCGCCAATACACGCTAAGTGATGAGTCTGCGAGGTTCATGCGAATAATCGACAATCGATTAAGTCGGAAAAATTCTTGTCTCAGCGATTCGGCTGAAGTAGCCCCGAATGCGAGCGGTGAACGAACTTACCACTTGGTAGTAGTTCATTTGGGGTCCATTTGGACTGTACATGAACCACCAGGCAGCCGAGCCGACGGTGGCAGCGCCTACGTATCCACCGATAGCCATGTAGCGGAAAAATAGCCATCCAGAAATCAGAGATTCGTCAGCTTTGCGGGGAGGCTGTAAAGACGCACGATAGTTGAGACTTCACATCTGACGACGTGTTTATTTCTTTCATGGCCGATGTCTCACCTTGCTCATGATGTCCAGATCGGGCGGGTTGAAGCCGAGAGCGGTGGCTGGAAGACCATCAGTGACCAGGTTGACCCACAGAAGTTGTACCGGGATCAGAGCTTCGGGAAGACCAAGGGCGGCGGTCAAGAATATACTGCGAAGTAAAAGGCGTCAATGTAGGCGAATGCTCGACGTAAGTCTCCTCGTTATGTCACGTAAATACCTGACGACCTCGCCAATGTTGGAAGAAATGAGATAACGGATGAACTGCTTCATGTTGTTGTAGATGGCACGGCCTTCTTCAACGGCGGCTACGATGGAGGAGAAGTTATCGTCCGCCAACACCATCTCCGAAGCCGACTTCGCGACCGCAGTGCCGGAGCCCATGGCGATACCAATTTCGGCTTTCTTCAACGCGGGAGCGTCATTCACACCGTCGCCGGTCTATAAAGTGCAAACCGTAGAGCAAATATTTTCGGACGATAAAGGAATTGACCGAACGGTCGAGAGATTGAAAGACTGAAGCCACTCATTTATAAGTTTGACGATGACGAAGATGTGAAGAAAAATATGCGAATCTCGTTGAAACGTCAGGATACAAATTTCTTTACTGCTGGAATAAAAAAGCTACCGGAGCGATGGGACAAGTATATAACTGTGAAAAAGTAGGTAAATTGTTACATTGATCGAATAAACTGTTATAAAACTACAACCGTTTGTCTCTTTACTTATATATCGAGTGACCGTCGTAGAACAATTTCAACACTCACCATAGCCGAGATCTCGTTCATGCTCTGCAAGTACTCTACGATCTTGGACTTGTGAGCCGGCTCTACACGGGAGAAGAGACGAGCCCTGGCGCAGGCGGACTTCTGTTCCGACGTCGAGAGGTCGTCGAATTCGCGTCCGGAGTACGACTTGCCGGTGGTGTCCTCGTCTTCACCGAACACTCCGATACGTCGGCAGATAGCCTCGGCGGTGGCTTTGTTGTCGCCAGTGATGACGATTACACGAATACCGGCGGCACGGCACCTCGCGATCGAGTCCAACACTTCCTTGCGAGGCGGATCCAACATGCCTACCACGCCGACGAACGTGAGATCCTTCTCGTAGGTGTAGAATTTGGTGGAGTCGCCCAGATCCATGTCGTCGGGCTTCATCGGGTGGTCGGCGGTGGCGAGCGCGAGGCAGCGCAGCGTGTCCCTACCGGTTCCGTATTGCCTGGTCAAGTCCAAGATGCGGTTCTTCAGGGTCGACGTGAGCGGCACTTTCTGGCCACCGACGCGGCAGTGCGTGCATCTGTCTAGCACACCTTCCGGTGCACCCTTGACAAACAGCTTCGGCCCGGTTCCCAGTTTCGACGGCTTGAGCGGCACGCAGTACGACGACATGGACTTGCGATCGCGGGAGAACTCAAGCGTGAATTCCTTCTTCCACTTGGTCTCCATATCTTGCCTGACCACGATAGCGCCGGCACGGCGGTCCAGACCACTCTTCGGGACGCCGTACGGGTTGATCTTCTCGGCGAGGACGATCAGGGCGGTCTCGGTGGCTTCGCCGACTTTCTCGAACGCCTGCTTGAACTCGTTGAAGTCGATCGCCGAGTCGTTACACATGATGCAGATCGTACTGAGTTCGTGCAGCGTCTCAAAGTCTTGTCCCTTGATCTTTTGTCCCCTCAGGAAGGTCTCACCGATGGGCTCGTAGGTCGAACCAGTGATCTCGAACTCGTGGAAGCTGCTGTCGTTACCCTCGACCTTCTCGAAGATGAACATTCTGCAAACGTTGAAATTTACGTGAGAATTTAGTTAGTCTAAACGGAAGAGAAGAAACTATTTTCGCTTGTCAAATTTGTCGAAATCGATAAGCAAAATCGACAACTACGTGTTAACCAATCCCTCTCGCTCAATCGTCTTACCGGCTAACGGACATCTGATTGGTCGTCAAAGTGCCGGTCTTGTCTGAGCAGATGACGGACGTGCAACCCAGAGTCTCGACAGACGGCAAGGATCGCACAATGGCGTTCTTCTTAGCCATACGCCTGGTGCCCAAGGCCAAACAAGTCGTAATTACAGCGGGCAGACCCTCGGGGATGGCCGCTACGGCGAGAGCGACGGCAATCTTGAAGTAGTAGATAGCACCCTTGATCCAGGATCCACCGTGGGCCGGGTCGTTGAAGTGGCCGATGTTGATGGCCCACACGGCCACGCAGATCACGGAAATCACCTTCGACAGCTGCTCGCCGAACTCGTCCAACTTTTGCTGCAACGGCGTCTTGATCTCCTCGGTCTCCGACATCTCTGTACGGATCTTACCGATGGCCGTGTTCAGGCCGGTTCCGATGACGATACCGCGGGCTTTGCCGGCGGCGACGTTGGTACCAGAAAACAAGATGTTCTTCTTATCCTAAAAAAAAAAAAATAATGTTGCCAAATGAGAGCTTGCAGAAAATATCTTAAAGAGTTTGATATGAGTGTAACGTAAGAAAAATTTTTTTAGACTTTTATTAGGTGTGTAAATTAATTTGGTGCCTTTGATTTTACTACTCACTTCTATGAATATTTCAAATCTAAAATGTTTTTCTGCTTAATTGCGATTTTGCTCTCTGGGTGTATAAAATACCAAAGTGAAACATCGTGAAATGATCAATAATAAAACCTCAGATAACAGTAATGATCTGTATTGCTTGCTATTGATAAAGTGCATATTTGGCATTACATTCGTTTTATATTCAACTGCAAAGTAATGTTGCTGAAACCGTAAAAGTGATTTTGTTCGGCTCTCGGCAAAGACATAATGAGTCATATAACTTGTAAACGATGATATCGGCGATTTCGAGAAGACCTTCACTACAACGTTCGACCTCACGTAGCAAAAGGAATAAAAGACGCTATTTTTAATACAGACTGAGAAGTTATACTGCATCCGGCTTATTCTTCAGACTTTATCCTTTCAGATTTTTACCTGTCTCGATCAAACTCGATCAAACTCGATCAAACTCGGTCAAACTCGGTCGTTGCAATATTTGGTTTGTTCGTGTTGCTTATACTTTTCGCACTCGATCCCCTCTTGCTTCTAGCGAATACGCGTCCGTTCTAAGTACAAAAAGTGCGAAAAATGCAAACAACACGAACATACCTATTATTTTATTGACACATATTAAAACAACTGAGGTCGTTCAAAAATTTATCTTAATCGATTAAAAATTGCCGAGTTTCAATCGCGATGGAATTCGACAGCTGCCCGATGAATAGCATAAATTCATAGGAAATAACGGAAATTATTTCGATAATTAAAATAGTACACCTTCTATTGATAAATAAATCTTGATGTTTAGTAACAAAGGCGTCGAATTAATTTACATATCTAATAATACAATCCCACAGCCTCTAATAACACAGTGTGTTGCATAAATATATGAGATATTCATGATATATTTACAAAATATATATTATTATAGAAAAAAAATAATAATTTGCGTTTTAAAATATCTTTTTCCAAAGAAACTTAAATCGCTTACATTGCTCTTCAAAATTATGTTTCCATTATTACATCGCTCGAGCTTCCGAGCTTTTGTTGCAAAATTCTCTCGGTTACAATTTTGATCTCATATATTACACTGTTGAGACTTGAGAAATGGACGGGTATATGGCGGAGATTATTATTTATATAAATATATAGTTCTACGAACCTGATTGACAGCGCGCGGGTCGGGAATAGGGTCGGTGTGCTTGATTACGGACACCGATTCACCAGTCAGGATAGACTGGTCGATCCTGAGGGTGGTCGAGAAGATCTTGGACAGGCGGATATCAGCCGGGATTTTGTCGCCGACCGATATCTCTACGACGTCACCGGGCACGATCTCTTTGGCCCGGATCCTCTGGACGCCGGACTTGTCCCCTCGTACGACCTTACCCATTTCGGGTTCGTACTCCTTGAGCGCCTCAATCGCGGACTCGGCGTTCCGTTCCTGCCAGACGCCGACCACGGCATTGGCGATAAGGATGAGCAGGATGACGAAGGGCTCAACGAAGGCCGTGAATGCATCCTCGTGCTCTTCAAATAAGGCTAATACCTGGCCAGGGGCGGATAATCGATCAGCGTGACTCGAATAGGAAAGTTGGTAGAAAAAAGAAAGAGGGAGTCTGGAAATTTTTGAGCAGTCCTTTGTTCCTCAGGAGGGAGATGTCGTGAAGAGAACGAACGAACCCCGAAACTTTCGCGAACTCTGCGGAGCTTATATCGCCGCTTTTTTTTCAGACAGATAACAAATGAGATTTCCGGAGAAAGTTAATTTAATTTCCAGGCATCATCGAAGAAACGTCAGCAGTCGATCTTAAATATCGTTAGCAGAGTCCAGCGATGAATTTGAGAAAATCTCGTCTAAAATGTACGATGAGAAAATAGGAAGACCTTTTTCAAAGAGCAACCGTTTTGTTCCCTTTTTGTCAAGGTTTTTTTTATTCGAACTATCATGAAGCCGATTATATACGCGAGCTTGATTGACACGTTCACACATGATGCCCGACGATGCGTAATGATTCACGAGCTCTTGTTTACTTTTGCAATTGATAGATCGAACCCCAGAGAATGAATGTTATACATTTCTCTTATGCGCTGGAAGAAAATCAGATCACCATGGCTACTTGAGATCAATATGCTATTTTTTCACTTCTCGTGGAAGATATATTTAGCCTCATTTACCCTTGAACCCCCGTAAACATATAATTACAGCGCTTTTAGCGGAGCGGCATGCACCGGAAAATTCGACTAGGAAAAAGAATATCCTCCAAGTCACTTCGCGTTATTACATTATTCATGCATATTTTTACAGAAGACGATATGACCTCGATAATTGTACGACAATAAAGTCTGATTTTTTATATAAATTAATGTGCGAATCTTAGGGATGTACTCGTTTTCTCCTTTAGCAACGTTCTGTCGCGTCTTATACTTACAAAAGAAATAATAGCGGCTAATAGAAGAATCTTAACTAGGAGGTCATCGAACTGTTCCAGGACGAGTTGCCAGATGGATTTTCCTGTAAGCGGAAATTATAAACTAAATTAGATACTAGATAATTAAATATGACTTTATTATAATATATATAATCATATATAATTAGATATGATTAGATATTAAATCAGATATATTCAGCATTTTTTTTTCACGAAGAAAGACCTCAATTCGGTATTCTGTCTCGCAACTCGAGAAGAATTCCTGCGACAAATTGGCGGTAAATTTACGTGGGAATGATGAGAGATGCAGAATTATCACGTAAAATTATATATCAGCGTTTACGGAGTGCAGTCTCCTCTCTTCAGCATTCGAAGGAAGCAATCTACTATTTTTAATGCATAGACCACCGTATAATCTATGCAATTGAAAACAATACCTCATTGTTACGCATTCCAGCTACATCGCATGTTATACATGACAGCACGTTCGCGAACGGTACATTTCATCGACACGATTTCGCACGCGCGAAGAAAAACATTTTCCTCGAAGGAGAATCACGCGAAGTCACTGCGACGGGCAAGTTGCCGAATCCAGCAATTTTCTGATCTTTCGTAACAATTTCACGGGACGTTTAACGCGTTCAGTATATTCAACGTAAGCGGCAGAAAAAGAGCAAAGAAGGAAGAAAGACGCGCGTTGCCCGAATGAGAAAGCAGAAATTAAGTAAACCACAAGCGTGCTCGCAATATAATATTTTATTCGCCGTGCCCGTAAGTTCTATTTTAATCCAAAGCAACACGTGTGTTTCGTGACGCGACACACACATACACACAGGGGCACGCGCGCATATATACACGCGAGCACGCTCACGATTTAATTCAGCGTTACAGGGAAGGCACGTTTTCGCGAGCTGGTGGGCACTCTTTTGCGTTTAGGCGCACTTTTGTAGCGTCAGCGATTAACTAACGCGCCGAAAGAAAATTCAGCGTATGCCGTCAGGAAGTAATAGCAGTAGATATTAATTAGGGGCACAAGCCCTGGTCGTCCTTGACGACGAGCGCCTTTTGCCTGCACGCGATTGACGTCACGTCATTGCTCCACGGTTGACGATTTCATTAATTGTAATTTACAGCGGAGCGGCCAGAGACGAGCGAAAATCCGATTGCCCGGCAATTACGAGAGTACGGCTCTCTCTCTCTCTCTCTCTCTCTCTCTCTCTCTCCCCTTCCGTCTTCTCTACTCTTCTCCCGCTTCTCTTCCCTTTACCGCTCCGTGATATAGTTTCCTCCTCGCGTCTTTCCTCTTTTACCGAGACGAGAAGAGCGGCGATACATATAACTTCCACGCGATATTAATACATAATCCATTTTCCTCTCGCGTACGTGTTAAGACCGGCCCTTTCTTCTTTGCGATTTATCGTCGCGTGCGAGTTTCGTCGGTAACACGAATATGTGGCGCACGCGTGTCTTCATTGCGTAAATCGCACGCGTAATACCGCGGTGGTTCACATTCCGCCGCGACTCGGAAATTAATATCGTGGTGTAACGTACCACATCATCATATAGTCGAATACATCCCTCTCTCCCTCCCTCCCTCGTACCTGCGTGCATATAGCAGATGCTTCATTACCGGATTCAACGTGTCACAATAGGTGTTGTCAATCGGTCGATAGAGTATGGGTGTGCACGTAGAGGCACGGGTAGACGTATGTACGACGGATAGAGCGATGGCGGTTACAGGCGGTTGTTACGCGTTTGTAACCGGCCACGCGATTAATTTATGATAGGCATCTCATTAATACGACCTTTATCGCCCGCCGCCGTCGACGTGCGCCAAGATTTCGTCGTATTGAATAAAACGCGGGAATAACGGCGGGATAATTGGAGCGGCGCGGATCTTTCCAGGAAGAGAAATCCTCTCTCGGGATTTCCGTAATGAGAATATTTCGCGAACTTGCATGCTCGTTGGCTATTTCGACCTCCAACATATATGAAATTTGTGCTCTTATACTATCTCGCCGAGCAGCACCGCGGGGTTTATCGAGAATATTCCGCATGCTCCATCGGCTCAATGCCATATTCCTGGCGGCCGAGTCTTCTGAATGCTAATCACGACGAGAAAGAAAAAAAGAGTGAAGGAGAGAGGGATAGAGAGGGGGGGGGGGAGGAAAAGAGAGAGGAGGATCATCAGGCGCAGACAAACGCAATTTCCCGTCGCTATGAGAAAGTCTACTGCTCTCTGTTCGTTTGTGAATAAATTCGGAAATGAATCTCTCTCTCTCTCTCTCTCTCTCTCTCCCTCTCTCTCTATCTATTTCTCTCGAGTTCTCATCGGGAAAATCGCGTTCGTCTTTCGCAAAAGATCGTTACGCGCTCGATAAATAAATGGAAAAGACTAAAAGGGGCAAAGAGAGAGAGAGAGAGAGAGAGAGAGAGCACCTCTCAAAAACCTGATTTCTATATTACCGCGGAAAGCCTGCGACGAAATCTCGTCGCAACTTGAGTATTACTACTGCGTTCGCGAATCGCTATTAATTCAATGACGCCTTCGCCTATCTTATCTCGCCGTCTTCGATAAGGTCGCGGGAATACACACTCCGCGGAAGGGTCATTAGTTTACCGATCGGTGAAATCTACCACGTCTCACGTAACAGGTGCGTTTTAATAACAAGTAATGGGGTCAATTTAATATCCCCGCGATATCATTCGCCGGTGCACGGTGTGTACATGTAGAGCGATGACGCGGCTGTAACACGATATAGATTGAGCGTCAGTCAAACCGACGATCGATCTTGCCGCGTTAACTCGCAGACTCTTAACCCAATTTCGCGGTGACTTAATCTAATTAGGCTCTCGCGGCTCGATCTGCGGGATCGGTCTGCATCTGCGGAGGAAACGCGCGCCAACAGTCGCTCCGCACGGCGGAACCACGTGCGCTGAATTCACTTTCCGCTTCCTCCTTTTTTTTTTTCGCATTTGCACACGACAGCCTCGCGTCGCTCCGAGCGATAATAACGCCGACGGGCAATAGTGAGAGCGGTAACTGCGGTGGGTCGATCCGTCGCCGAAGGTCGGCGCGAGCGAGCGAAGATAGTGCGAGCCTCCACGCGGGTCGAGTGCACCGGGTGCAATGCCGACGCAATTACGGCCGAGTCGAAGGCGACGTACCGGCGGCCCCGCAGTGGCGTCTTGTCGCGAACGGAGAAATGAGTGGGCCCGCACCTCCGAGTTCTACGGGCTTAATCGCGAACAACGGGGAGCTACGATGACGCGCTATTTGTTTCCGCAGTCGTTGCCCATTATCTCGCGGTATTACATTCAAAAGCTCGAGCCGAGCGCCCTTCTTCCCACTATTCGTCTCTGTTCGGTCGCTCTATTACCGGGCGAAATTGTTCCCGAGTAGAAAAAACGGGGAAAGAGAGAGACGACGAGGAAACGCGGACCCGAGAAATCTTCGGCCGGTAAAAAGTTCAGCGAAAACGATTTTAAACGAGAGCACCTTTGTAAATACGAAGGATCTCTCTTTATGATTGTCAGCTAATCTTATTAATATGCGCGTGTTGTTTTTAATATATAATAAGCACACAAATTTGGGAAATTTTGTAATTTGCGTTGAAACGAGCTCGAATAATAGAGATCGAAACGTTTGCATAAACTGGTGGTGTTTATTCTTTCTAGCTAGTCAATATTCGCTTCAATATCAAATTGCTTGCCTTTATACCGGCTTTCTGACTCTTATTCGTCTCTTTCTTTCGTAAGAGAATACCTTTCCCTCGAATTAAGAATTTCTCCGTATTATTACATCCTACTTTCCCGTTGCATTTTCTCGTGCTCCTCCCGCAAATTTATCGGCCTCTCGATTGATGGAGGCCCCTGATCTCGTTAGCAGGGCACCCCGAAACCGCGATGACAACACTGGCGCTCTTGCTTTTATGCGGGCAGCGACGAGATCGGGCCGGCACATCGCACTCACATGTGTATCCACGTACGAGCGTTCGCGAGTGCACGTAATAACGTAGCGCGTGCGACGTTAATGCTCGGCGGCTTATGGAGCTCCAGGAACTGCCTGGCTGGCCTACTTTGATAGCGATGCTTTCGCATGGCGCCTAGTCTTCGCTTCTCCGCGAGAGACGCGAGCTCGTCGACTAGCGCCGGGCGAAGTGAGTTTCGGCAACTCGTAAATTGAAAAACTCGAGACTTCGCACGCAAATCAGCAGTTTACGGCACGATATGAGAGCGAATGGTAAATAGGGAAAAGTTGAGTTTCCAGTTTGCGAGGTTGCCGCGCTCCATCGGGAGCAGACTTGCCACCGCCAAGTACGCCAATTTGTCGCGACCTTACCTGCTCTCTCTCTCTCTCTCTCTCTCTACGTCACGCTACGGCGACAACAGCGGTATGTCGGTACTCACCCTCCTCAGCTGGCAATTCTGCAACAGAGAAAAGGAGGATTCGTTAGAACACGACCATGTCCATTATAAAAATGAATAACGAGAAAATCGTGATGGTGATAAAGGATACACACGTTCGTAAGAAATTAAGTCGGAAAATGACGCCAGTCAGCGAGTATTATCATAAAATACGTTCCGTGATACAGCACTTCAGGCAGCAGTTGAAGAGAAAAAACACTTTTTCAATGACTAATTATAGGTAGCGCGTTTTTTAAACGCTTTACGACATTCACGAACGATCGTGCAAATGATTGTTTACACAGTACTTTGAAAAAAATTCGCCAATCGTTAAACGTCAAACTGAATCGTTTCTAATGTACGCGTAGGAATGGTTTGTCTGATGCGAATCCAATGCAAGAGGTGTTCGAGCGCGTTTTGACGGATCCGCTTTAAGGTGTCCCACTTCAAATTACACGGAGATGTCGGGAATCCCGAATCCCATAATTTCCATGACGCGGACAAATTAGAGGAAACCGCGAAAACGAATTTGGCGTGCAAAATGGGTGTACTCTGGTTGGGCGGAACGTGCAGGTGACAGTCAGTGAAGCGTTAAATCTCCGAAAGGTTCATACAGCAGGCGGCACATCGTGGTGGTGCGCCATAGAACGCCAGACGCGCGCGCGCGCGAGCACCGATTGAATTTGCAGAAACCTACTCGATATTATCGAATCTCGCTCTTGCAATTTCTACATACGTCAACAGACGAGTGTATCGATTACAAAAATGCGCCACGTAGTTACATATTATTTCAAACCAATCGCCTTTTATCTTTTATTTTATGAATTATCAGGTCGCAAATTAATTTTCTCCGATCGTAAAGTAACGGAAGATTAAATTCCCTTATCAGCAATTAGATATATCTATATTTCTATAATATCTATAATTAGATATAACTATATTGAGAATGCAAAGTACGCAGGAAAAGTGGTAGAATCAAGTAAATTGCCTGTTTTCCGGTGTCTCTCATAAATCAAGTAATATTTTTATTGATCTAAGTATATTTTAACAGCTTGTAGTAAATATTTGTTCAAAGTAATATCTTAATTTGTAAATGAATTATTGAATATAAAATAGTTCTAAATTTAAGAGAGTATTTACTAGAATTCTTTTCCATTGGAGAAATCTAGTGGTTTTAAATCTAGATTTCCTGTACAATAAATATTTTCTAAAAATAAATTCTAATCTAATTTAATATTCTCAATATTGTAATTATAATACACAATTATTTTAACACGTACAAATAAATATCTATTTGTACGAAGGGAATATCACACTGTATACAGAATGTTAAAAAATTAAATCGACAAGTTTTGAGGGGAAATAGAGGATTTCAAAATAAACATTTCTTAACCCTTTTAGTGCCGGGCGAAAAAGAGGTGCTTATGCGAAGATAACCGGCCGATTTTACTAGGATTTGGTAAAAGGCTCATAAAAACCAAACGAAAAGCAATATTTAAAAATTATTTATTTTAATTCTCTCGTAATGAAATTAGACTATTTATAACGTATTTTAAATTTATTTTGATAGAGATCTCTCGCAATGCGAATAGTAAAGCGCTACAAGGTGCGGGCCGATATATCGGCTCCCGGCACTAAAAGGGTTAAATACTATTTTACCCTACGACGTTTTATTTTAATATTATACGGCATGAGTAAACTATATAGAAAAATCAAATCCTCCATTAAGACTCGGCTATTTCGTCGCAATTATGTTGGTTTATGATGTTATCATAAGCGATATATAGTAAGTTTTGACATGCAATTTATCACATATTTTTCAGGAAAAACTATAAAATGAAGCTACATGACGCAAGAAACTTACTGTATTTCATTTCTCGTCTATGACGTCATAAACCAATGTAATTGCGGCGAGATAGCCGAATATGAATGGAGGAATTTGATTTATCTGTATTGTCTATTCAGTCTAATTTTTTAGCACCTATATATTCAATAATATTTCTTCTTCTTGTAAATATTTGCCAAGGAATATTAGAGTAACCATTTTGCTTGGATTAAAAAAATATTGCTTAAAGGATAGCACTTTTTTCTCATCGTAGCTTTACGTCGCGTTGATGATTACGCAATCTTTGTATGTAAATGGGAGAATCGCGGATTGCGCGAAGGTGTACGATTTTCCAAGACAAAATGCATCACACGTCCCGTGTTCGACGTGAGTCACGCGACTTCAGCTGAAGGATCGCACCTATATTTTGCCTCAGTTTATCTCCAATTTTATGTCCGACCCAGGGTTACACAACGAGGTCGATTACTCTCCGTCGAGCGTTCATTACCATCTCAAGATTCGGTATGCGCGCGTGCGTGCCCGCGAGTGTATCTGCGAGTGTATCCGCGAGTTTTAACAGACCCGCCATATAAATATTTACACGTACGCAACGTGGAAATATGGATCCTCTCGTAAGACGAGCGTCTCGCTGCCTAATAAAACCGGAAGAACGTGGAGACTGAAATAATCAAGGGTATACATATATGGTGCTCCCCAGGCTAATAATGTGTATCCCTGCGATTCTGCTCCCTCGACTTCACAGCTTTTCCAAATTCCACGATCGACGCGAATTTTTCCCGGGGAGAACTTTTTTCCGGTTGAGAAAATCTCATTAAGCGCGCATCTTGTTTTCCCCTAGGGATGTTTTTATTTTCGAAGAAATTAAATATGCCGGCAATCAAACTTGCATCAAAATTTCATTGCAGGAGAAAATATATTCTTAAAAAAAAAAGAGAAAGAAGCAAAAGATAAACGCGAGACTCCTCGCGAGAAGAATCGAGAGCGAATGCGGGAAAATATCTCTCTCTCGCGCTCGTCGGGAAAACGCTGTCTGTCGACGCGAGCATTTGTGATACGTGCGTAATGACACGTGAGAAAAAACAGAGACACGTGGGACTCATTGATTTGTATACTGGATCCGCATAGATTTTCCGTGAATAGCTGTCGTGCGCGATTGACGTGCGCAACAGAGAGACACGTCGCTTCCCGTGAAACGCACATCAGCGGATTCTGAAAGGCTGCCTGTAATTCTGCAAGTCGCACAAAGGCAGGCGCGAAAGCGTTTGTCGCGTGAATAATGGCTTCAATTTCACGTCGATTTGCGGCGCAAGGCGAACTCGCTAATTTCGCACGCAAACGCTGCGCCAGATTAATATTTATACTGGACAGAAAAGAAAAGAATTATCGATGATATGCGTTATGTCAGAAAGAAAAATTAGTGTCTCTCCAGTTTAGCGGCACCATGATTACATGCAAAATTATTTTTTTTAATAATAATAATAATGATAATAATAGAAAAGAAAATAGTGTTATGGTCCTTTAATTTCTCCACCATTAGGTGGTGTATTCTAGTGATTATTTATAAAATAATTTATTCAGTAACTCGTCGTTACGTAATGACGCTAATATGCTAATATATATTTGTTATAACGCATTTTTACTTTTGAGCATTTCGTAACATTTTCAAGGCATATTTTAGCATTTAATTATACATATTTCCTTATTCTTGTTAAACTTGGGCGTATTATCATGCTAACATATGTACACTTGAATATTTGTTCGTTATTTAACATTCTATTTCGCTATACACATTTTGAATTATGCAAAGTTAAACAGTAGCGTGTCATTTACTAATGTCATTTTGCTAATGTGACCTTCTAAGGATGCTAATAACACAACCTCTTTTTCGAGGTTTTTATATCGAAGTTGTTATATTTGATAAATCGATTCTAATCTACAGTTCATTGCTGCACTTCTGTTTATTATACCGTTGTTCTTTTAACAGATTGTATCTTCTGACAAGTAAGTCAATATCTACATTAAAAATTCATAATTATATTCATTGTTACTCTTTCTAAGTTTATTTTGAATACATATATAATTTTGTAACAAAATACTCTGTGTTACTTTAAACAAAACCAATACTTTAAATTTATTTTAATTGAGGGCCACATTATCGCCCCGTTTCTCTTCAACCCATTATGCAATATCGCCACATTTTTACAAATAATGTCCTAAGTAATAAATATTTCATAACTTTGGGATAATACAAGGATTGTAGATGACAAACATGAATAACGTAACATTATTACATATATTAGCGATGTATAAATTTGAATTAAGCAAAAAAAAAAATAGTTATAAAGTGAAAAATACATAAACTCATGATACATATATAAATTTGCACGCACAACGAAATTAAGGAATTAACGGATTTAAAAGTTGTCAGTAATCTGTGAAAAATATCACATAGTTGAAGAACTAGTTTGATATCATGCACAATCTGCCAATGTGAGAGCTCGCAGTATATAAAGTTCGTGTAACGTAGAATAGAGAATACTGCTTCAAAGGTCTAAGAGAAACATTAGTTTTAATGGATTCAAGTATAAATGAAGAATCGATCAGCTGATTAAATATGCTAAAAACAAATGTAAGATCAAAGATTCATGCTGCGATTCTAAACAGAATTGTAAGACTTGTAACTTGTTCTCGTAAGACTCGTAAGAACTTATAAGTAATTCTGCAATTCTATGCCTTATACGTATTCCATATCGCACAATCATTCGCATAAATATCTATGATTTAAATCGTAGATATTTAAATTTTATGTAAATCATAATTCTTACAGCTGGCAAGAAGCTGTTAATAAAGTTACGGTTTGTGAATTTTACCAACATTTTCAGTCATTATTAACATAATGAATCGAAACATCGATATATTATATGTTGGATGTTTAATTAAGAGAGAATATAATAGAGGTAATATAGGAAACATATAAAATTATTTCAATATTACTGACTACATAATCTACTTTTTAGAAACTACATACATACATAGGTTACATTCTGACTACATAATCTACTTTTTAGAAACTACATACATACATAGGTTACATTTCAAATGAGATATTGTTCAACCTTGCAACTTCTCCTTTAACTCGCAACTTTTAAGTGACAGCTCATTAAGTAAAGATTCA